GTAAAAAAAGAGTTACATAATTGTATAGAAGATTAAACAATAAATATAAAATTATTAATCCAATTTGCCAAACACGAATGACTCAATTAAATTTGCAGTGATAACTTAAAAAAAAAATATATATATATACCTATACAATACGAGTGGGTGTAAAAAAAAGAGTTACATAATTTCATAGAAGATTAAACAATAAATATAAAATTATTAATCCGATTTTCCAAACACGAATGACTCAATTAAATTTGCAGTGATAACTTAAAAAAAAATATATATATATATACCTATACAATACGAATGGGTGTAAAAAAAGAGTTACATAATTTTATAGAAGATTAAACAATAAATATATCCACATATATAAATATTCTACAAGAAGGAAAAATTCGATCTAGATAACACACATGCAAACTAACACACGTACACGTTGAATAACAATTCCTATTTTCATAGTTTAAAATAAAATTCAACTACGACGCGACACAGAGAAAGGTTTAATATCCGCTAATATTTATCGGATGCATCTCAACTAGATCGCGAAAGAGAGAGAGAGAGACAGGAGAGGGGGGTGGGGGAGGGGTGGAGGAGAGAGAAAAAAAAAAGAAAAGGTCGATGGTACGTGTAAGCCGTATTTCCGTTTGACGATATTCATGGAAAATAGAAGCTTAGTATTTCAGCGAAGCGATAACGTCACCACCCACCCCCAACTCGCGTCTGGTTCTGCTTCACGTTGTTTGCAATGCTCAACGCGAAACCATACGTGACAGGAGGACAAAAATATTCGTCGAATATATATATATATTTTTCTGTATGGTTTTTGAGGTAGGTATCCTAGAGATCGTGGCAAGATCGATCTGATTTGCACAACTTCCCATACAATACGCCTTTTATTTGCGTTTCCTGTCGTTGTTAGATGGTTTGCAATGGTAACACCCCCCAATACTTTCCAAATTTTCTACTTCCAGTTTCCATCCCCATTCTTTCATCGTTTATCTTTTTCTAACTCGTACCATTACCATTATCATCACTACTACTATCCCCTTCTTCACTCGTTTTATATTATTCCACATTCTTTTTATTTTTAGTTATTTTGATTCTAGACTAGAGAAAAATATCTTTACCCGAAGATACATACAAACTATATATTACTCTTACAAGATAGAATATATCCTATGGTATTTTTCCTCTATCAGGCGTTAGCTTTCAACGTGGTGTAACTACAACCGTTCTTCGTCTCTCTTTATGTAAATCGTTTGAATCCACGGTGAGCAATAAAATGTAAAACAGGAGTAGTTCGGTCTGTACCACCACCACCATCACCATCACCATCACTATCCACCTAGCTAGTCTATCTATCTATATATTTTTCTCATTCCTTTTTCACATTGTCTTCTTTGTCGTTGTCGTAAGAGAAGAACCTTAGTAGAATGTTCTTACATTTCTCTTTCCATTTCTTTCTTTTTCTCTTTTTCTTTCTATATATCTATCTTTATCTCATTCTTTCATTCATTCATTCTTCTTCTCATTTTTCACTTATTCCCCCCCCCCTCTACCACTGATGACAATGTCATCGTAAATGATCCTCTTCAAAGTATCTTTCATCTAAACAATACATTTATTACACGTTTTATAAATAATTACTTAGTTAGATCAAGGAATCATCTTGTATATCACGTATCTCGTTGTAAAGAAACTTCATTCGTGACAAGTCAAGAACTAACATTAAAAGAAAGAATGAGAGATAGAAATAATTGTAAGAGAGAAAAAGAGAATGAGAAGAAGAAGAAGAAGGTGGAGAACAAAATGTTTAAATTACTTCGTTTGTCATTCTTTCCTCCCTTTTTTCTTTTTTTCCAAATAAAATTTCATGGAGATTTTCTTCTCTATCTTTCTCTTTTTTTTTTCCATTTTTTTCCTTGTCGGTCACGAAATGCCTTTTGTCGCATTCTAACATAAACGTACGGGATTGCATACCATGCACTCGTCGGGACTTACTTCTTGAATAGGTTGCGAACTCTCGGCACACCTCGGACCATGTGAATCCAGTTTTCTCATACGTGGGCACAGGTTGAATGCGAGCAAAGCACGACAATGTTCTATAAACGGAATAACTAGATTGAAGTTGGTAGAAAGAGAGAGAGAGAGAGAGATAAAGCGAGATGAGATGTGATGTGGTTGTAAGAGCTTTTTCAAAAATTCTCTTACAGTATCAAAAACACCATCGATTTTATCATAATATTTCATATATTGATGAAACTCGTTTCATTCTTTTTATCTAGTATTATTATTATTATTATTATTATTTTCTTTTTCATTTAATAATAATAATTTTACTGTTTGAAATTTTGAAATACTTTATTAATTGTAAGATAAAGTTAAACAAATGTGGATGAAATCAGGTTAATCATGTTACAATATTATTATTATTATTATTATTATTCTATGAATATACTTGTTTTTAATTTAATAATTTTTATACAATTTTCGATTAGAAATAATAATAAAAAGTAATACAGATTTATGTGTACGAGTGTATAAAGAAAGTGTTAGATTAATTTATAAAAGATTAAACAATATATAAATATTTCTTGTATTAAAAAGAACATTCAATTTATAGGTAACACCTTTTTATTGATTACTTATCTACATACTTTTATATACTTTATTCTGTCATTAATTCGTTTTGGTGATATATAACAAATTATTTATTATATCATTTTGAATTATAATTATAAGAGATTGGAGATATTATTGAACGGATATAAAATAAAATTCTATATCAAAGGGGATTAGTAAAAAAAAAATCTAAAACACGTGCCAATTGTATTTAGTTTTAAATTGATCGCAATAACATAAACTCGTGATTATTTTAAACTAATTTTTCTGATGGGTAAAGGGGGTGAAAGAGGGGAGGATTATTTTTTTGGCTTATTTCGTTAAAAAAAAAAAGAATCTACCTGTATACGTTATTTTTGATCTCATATAATTCGTTAAATTTATTATTCTTAAATTACAAATTCAAGAGAAAAATCATTGTATTATATTATTATAGATACACGTGTATTCTGTCTATGTAAACGATAGGAAGAATCATATTGGGTTGTACATAAATGAATACATATGTTCGTGAATATTAGATTTTCCGAAGTTAAACGAGAGTATTCTTATTTCAGTATCGAATATAAAGAAGAAACTTCTTTATTCTCTTTTTACATTTTTATTTTTATTTTTTGTTCTCTTCCTCTTCTTCTTCTTCTTCTTATTCCTTGAACTTTTTCAATAGTTGCATTATCGGTAATATCGACGAAGCGTTATTAAATTCCACAAACGAAGCTTATTGTTTTATACGATTTTCAAATGATACAACACGATAGATATTATTCCTTTATTATTATTATTATTATTATTATTATTATTATTATTATTATTATTATTCTTTTAATTTTCTTTTCTTTTTTTTCTTTTCTTTTCTCGTTTGATAGATATTTCAAAGGCGAGGTCAATTAGCGACAATTACAAACTAGACTCTCATTAATGTGTTATCGAGATCTATGAATCGAATACGAAACGATAGAAACTGATATACATATATATATATATATATATATGTATATATACAAGAGTAATTCTGTTAATTGGGAATGTAAAGTAAAAGTAGAAAAAAAAAGAAACAAAATAAAAAAATCATACAACATAATACGTTCGAACTTTTTTAGCAGTATTTGATTTTTTTTTCTGCATGGATGGATGCATCGATGCATTTTTGTGTACTAAATGCATCTCTACACTTTTATACTAATACTAAATTTTATTTTACAATTATTTTTGTAGAACATTCTCTTGCTCGTTTGTACCATTGATTATAGGACACCCTGTATATGTGAAAGATAATAAGAAAAAAAGAAAAAAAAAAAAGGGAGAAAAAGTGAAAGGATCGCCAATTAAATTTGACTTTTACATTTCTCGTTATAAATCTTTATAAATAATTATATTATACAAATATAAACTGATCATTTTCTACACTGCGAACAAAAAATGTTTCATGTGAACGATTTAGAATATTCATTATTTTTTTTTTCTTAAAAACACTTTTTTTTTTATAACAATTTTGTCATTAGCATTAGAATATAACAAGCTTTAAAGGGTATAGTTGTACAACTTTGAGAGGGTGGAGGGGAGGGGAGAAATAAATAAATTATCCTATGAAAAAATTTGAAAAAAAAAAAAAAAAGGAATAATCGATTTAAAAAATCTTTCAACAGAACTTTTCGTTCATAATCAGTTAGGAACTTTTAACCTAATATAATCGTTCCAATTAGAAGAAGTAGATGTAAAAGAAGAAAGAAAGAAAAAGAAAAATCAAAAAAAAGAAAATGGACGAAGAAATGGGGTAATTCTCCGAAATTTCTCTTTTTTTTACTCGAACAATAAAATCCTTCTTTATAAATATGCATAAAGTTCTGTATAAAACACACACAAAAGAAATTATTTCCTTTTTATTTTCTGTTTTCTATTTTCTATTTTCTTTTACAATTACGTTAAACATTTCTCGGTTTGTTAAATAATAAAATTGTAATGGATATCATTTTTATTCGTAGGACTAATATTTTCTTGTTTGTATAATATCACAGAAAGATAAAAGAGAGTGAGAATAATAAAGTTAAAGAAGTTTCTTTATTAGACGCATCCGATTTAGAAAAAGTTAGGCTCGTACGTTGACTCGAGTTAATATTCTTCCTTTGAAGGAAAGAAAGAGAAATAGAAAAAAAAAAACAAAAAAAAAGAAAAGAAAAATAGAAAGAGAAAGAGAATGCCTGAGGTATATGAAATGGTGCAAAGTTCAGAGTTATATTCACGTCCATGCGAAATTCATAATCTCTTGCAGAAGGAAGCAAAACGTTTAAGTGACGATGAAGCTTCTTCTTCTTCTTCTTCTTATCCTCCTATACTCTGTTCTTATCTACCCTCTCTCTCTATCTCTCTCTTTCTCTCTATTTCTATTTCTTTCTTTTTCTCTCTTGTCTCGTCGACACGCTGACTTCCTTCGCCAACGTATTATCGGATTACCGGCTTTTTGCAGAAATACCGCGAGTGCATACTGAGATTATTATTGTTATTACAAAGAAAGAAAAAGAGTGTATGAGAGAGAGAGAGTGAGAGAGAGAGAGAAAAATAACATGGAGTAGGTCGATTATTAATTGACTCTAACGGCCGTACAGCTCTTATGCAAATTAACTCTCGCGATGGTAAAATTTGAAAGGGTAAAACCTTACACACCCTACTCTACCCTCCCTCCCTCCCTACCACTCATTTTCTACCACCACCTTCTCGTTTCTGCCACTAACCTCCATCTTTTCTGTCGTCCCTGAACCGAGCCGTTTGGTTCCTCCTTTTTCCGGTTTATAACGAGCGTGGTAGGTTTAAATGCTGGAAAATCAACGCTTAATTTAACGGCAAATACGTTTCTACGATCCTTTTTTTTTTTTTTCTTTCTCTGTGGACATTCATTTTCTTTACAAGGATATTAAACGTTGTCCGAGATTTTGTGTTCATCGTTTTT